AAAAGGCTTCTTATAAAAAGGTTTTAAATAAAGGGGAATTTAAATTTAATTATATATATAGCCCCTAGACTAATATCGTATATTGTATTTCCATTTTTGCGATTATAAGGCGAGTTGCCCGTTAATATTTCAATTATTTTCGAAATAAAATAATTAATTATTTAGGCGGTATATTGATTAGAAGGACCTTTAGCGGCTTTAATTAGGCTCTTATACTTTCAATTTTATTAGAGCGGCTTTAGGCTCCCTATCTCTTTCTAGCGCCCTATTAAATAACTAGAAGTGTCTATACTAATAACGCGGACTACCGTACGCCAGTCCGCGTTTATAGTATATTCCGTAATCCTATTAACCCTAATAATATTCGGGGATTGTCGGGAGTAACCTTCAATTAGGTAATTGAAAAGTATAAGCTCTAAATAGTCTATACGATAAGGGCTTAAATAGTGGAAAATATTAAAAAGATAAAAAAAAAGATAAAAGAGAGGAAGAAGGAGGCGTCCTAAATTTTAAATATATTAGCGACGGATTAATTAAGGAAATCATAATAGAAGTATTAGTAAGAAGAGGAAGAAAGTATAAATATTTATTCGATAGTAATTTCTACAAGTAAATCGACGGTCTAATTGGAATTGGGGATAAGGAGACCCTTTGCGCTATAAGAATTGCTAATTCAATACTGCTTTTAAGGATGAACGAGAATTTCTTATATTATAAAGCTATTATTGATAAGTATTTTGCGACGGATAATATATCCTTAAATAAAATTATATCCGAAAATATAACGAAATTTTACGAAAAAGCTGATAAACCGCCAAAAACCAACGAATAAATTAAAGTAAAGCTCCCTTCTTAATACTAGTATTATATTAAGACGTTTAAATAGGAGGGCGTTAAGATATTACCCCCGATACGCTCTTATAAGTTCAAAATTAAATTCCGCCTTCGAGTTATCCCGTTAACAGTGTGAAATTGCCCGTTTAACCCCGACGAATTAAATATTATTAAGAAATAGATTAATAATAATTTAGTTAAAAGGTTTATCCGGCTATCCTAATTTGAGGCCTCTTTTCTAATTTTATTCATTAAGAAATTGGGAGGCGGAATTTGTATTTACATCGATTATAAAAGTATTAATAATATAACTTTAAAGTTTTACTATTTATTACCGTTAATTAAAAAAACCTTCGACGCTATTTATTAAATTAGAATCTTTATTAAATTTGATATTATCGCTACCTTTAACTATATTTACATTAAATAGGGCCATAAATAATAAATTATTTTTATTATGTAATTCGGCCTTTTCGAATCCTTAATCTTATTATTTAATTTATAGGGCGCGCCGGATATTTTTTAGAATGATATTAACGATATTTTATCTAATACTTTCGACGTTTATATAACTATTTACTTCGACGATATTTTTATTTAGTCTAATAATGTTAAAGATTACGAATAATATTAACGATATCTTCGATTGCCTAATTCGGACGGGCCTTAGCGTTAATATCGATAAGTACGAATTTTATATCATACGAATAAAATATTTGGGTTTAAATATTACCCTAGGAGGTATTGAAATAGACCCGGAAAAATTAAAGCTGTTATTAAGTAGGCGGCCTTAAAATTTAAAAAGTCTTTACAATCTTTCTTAGGATTTGTAAATTTCTATTAATAATTTATACGAAATTTTTCTACTATAGTTATACTACTCTACGAATTTATTAAGAAGGACGCCGCTTAGATTTAGAATAATAGTTATTAATCCGCTTTCGAAATATTAAAAATAACCTTTACTAAGGGTCCCGTATTGAGGATTTACAATTAGATCAAGAAGACGGTAATTGAAATACACGTATTAAATTAGGTTATAAGTAGTACCCTATCCCAATACGGGGATAATAGCGTATTATATTTAGTAATTTACTTTTTAATTAAGTATATAGCCTAAAAATATAATTATAATATCTATAATCAAGAATTCCTCGCTATTATTAAGGTATTAAATGAGTGGAGGTTAGAATTCGAAGGAATTTAATAGCCTTTCGATAGTTTAATGGATTATGAGAACCTATAGACTTTTACGTTTAATAAATAGTTTACTTAGCGCTATATATAGTAGTCTTAATTCCTATCCCGGTTTAATCTTTTAATTAAATATACGCCGGGCTTTAAGAATCTTCGCCTAAACGTGCTAAATCGCAAATTAAACGATTGCCCCGACGATGTAGAAGACGACCGATTTATAGTTAGAAAACGCCCGCTTTTAGACCTTTTATAGTTCGAAGACGGCTACTTCTCTAAGGAGGACCCTACTATTAATTTCTCTCTCTACTTATTAAATATAGACGATTTCGATAATAAATCTACTAACGACTTAATTTATATTAATTATAAAACGTTTATCTTCTTATAAGAATTCTCTTTTTACTCTAGATCCCGCGTAATTCGAGAACGGTTATTTTTTATAGAGGACCCCGTAGCGGGGTTTTCCCTCTACTTATTAAGAATAAATAACTTCAATGATAAATTTACTAACGATTTAATCTACGTTAACTATAAAATATCTATTTTCTTATAAGAATTCGTTTTTTACTTAACGGACGAAATACGGCGCTAGTAGCTACCAATTATTAGAAAGGTTTTTTATTGCGCTTTTTCGGAATATTACGCCGTAAATAATATTACGAAATAGCGGGATAGGGTAATTATCGACCTCTACAATAAGGAATTCTAATTTTACCTAATTAACCATTAATATAATTTTCCTGATATAAGCTCTTTCGGTCGTAATATTATATATAAACTCTTATAATACGAATTTTATTAAGAGGGGATATATAATAACGTAGGGACCTTTTATAAAGGCTACCTCCCTTACGTAAAGATAAAATCGTTAAAGCGGGGTTTAGCCGGATATTTTAAGCCCGTAGCTATCTCTCTAACGCTATAGAGGGACGTATTTATCGACTATATTACCCCGCTACTAAGAAATACCTATTTTAACTAAAGCTTTAAATATATCGCCGTTATCGTCGACCGATTAATTAAGATACGGTATTATACACCTATAATAATTTTAAAAGCGGAGGAACTTATAGACCGTTTTATTGACTAAATTCTTTCGATTTATAATCTACCGGATAGTATCTTAATAAAAATATTTAATTTTGTTTCGTTTTTAATCTACCTTTTACGAAATGTTATTTATTATTCGTAAATTAACGTCCGCTTTCTACCCTTAAATTAATACTTAAACGGAATATATTAATATAACGATAGAATAATTCCCATAGCTTTATATTAATTAGGTATAGACGGATTAGGTAAAATAATTACCGATCGCGGAATTTATCAATAATAACGCTATATCGTCGTTAATAACCATTTCCCCCTTCTTCGCTAATTATAATTATTACCTACGGATAGACACCGAGCCCTATATATAACCCCCCCCCCCCCGGATTTATCGCCGGCTTAATTTGAGGAGTATTATAAAGTATCTAAATTAGCGGAGTATTTCTAATAAACTTAGGACTTCGTCGTCTAATACATCCGTCGGACTTAGGAGTAATCCGAAGATAACGCTAATAAAAAATATATCGACTCTCCTAAATATTATCCTAATCATATAGCCCGGTTAAATATAATAAATTTCGCTAACAGTTAATTATATTTAAAATTCTATTTATAATAGGAGGGCCCCTTCTACGTTATTTAAACGGAGAATTATACGGTATATTTCGTATTCTCGACTAATATAAAATATTCGCCGGTATTCTATATATTTATAGTATAATTATAAATCGGTAGAGGCCTTCCCGGCTAAAATACGTCGTTTAATATAAAGGTAAATAATGGACGTATAATAATTAGGACGGATAATTATAAGGAATGGGAAGAATATGATTTTAAAAGGTGTATCGATTATGCTCAATTCGGCGGTAACTATTATTAGTATTATTACGTCGAATAGAAGGGCGACTACTAACTGACTTAGGAATTTAAGGATAACGTTATCGATTATCACGAAATACTCCAACGTTTCTACAACGAATTCCCCAATAAACCTATACTACTAAATATAGAGGCTATATTAACCGAACGAACTCTAGTACCGGCTACCGCTCTAATACTGGCCGCCGCTCCTATACCCCTAATACCCCCGAAAGGCCAGTTTACTCGTATCGCTTAATAAACCGAGATTACCGCCGCCGTTATCGATATTACTTAGCTATTACCTAATACGGTTATAATTACGATAGGGCTAGAAAATAAATTTACAATATATAAAGAATAGGGATTAGAGATAGTATTCACGAGGATAGTAAGACGTTTAATAGATATTTAGTTTAATCGAATACTAAAGTCGGAGTTCGTGGATTATAATAAAATATTGGAAGGAGAGAGTCTAAAATGAATAATTCAGAGTATTATTACGTATATATATAAATTCGAAACTACTAGGGCTTCTTTTAAAGGGGGATAATATTATAGGGTTAGCTTATAATATTCTTATACTATACTAACTACCTTATATACTATACCCAGAGTTGGTGCTATAGCCTAGAGCCATACACGCACTGGCCACATACACAGCAGTCACGTACAGTTGCACATGTGCGCGTACACGGACTGGTCTGCTAGGGCTCTCGCCCATATAGCCAGTCCTCCACGCATACCTTCCTTTCCTCCCCTTCGTACAACAACGCATATCTTACCCTATACCGAACAGTGCCTCGCCCCGTGATAGGTAAGGTTTTAGGTAATCGTAATATAAACCGTAGTTATAACTAGTATTAACACTATACTAAATTCTAAAATTTATTCCTTTAGCTACAAAGTACTAGAAATCCCAGCGGAATAATTATTACCTCCCTAACTAAGAGCCTATTATACCGGAAACGTATAACACCCTCAATACCGAGTAACGTATAGTATTTGACCAGTTTATTAACCACTATTAAGCTATTCTCGACGGCCAAAGTCCCCCACAATTATTTATTCAAGTCGACGGTTGTAGTAGTCCTAGTAAATCCCATTTTATTCGATTACTATTTATTAAATTTAAGGAAATAGTAACCCTCAACTACCTTCCCGACCCCGTTACTCGTACTACTCCTACCGGTATATTTACTACTAATATTAATAGGTCTACTATTTATTCCCTTCTATAGTTTCCATTTAGTATTAATAACTTAGTTAATTTATAAAGCTACAATCTAACCAATTTGTAAAATAAATTTAGGCTATTCAAGTATTTTATTATTAATAAAAAGTCCATATTAAGAATAAGGATTATATATTATATTGATAACCATCTCCGTTAGGCCTTTATCGAAAATTAGGGCAAAAAGTCTAATAGTACTAATATCCTTCTTTTTAAGGATTTCTTCCAATTAGTACCTATCGGTCAAAAGGCCCTATTTTACTAAGAACCCCCTCAATTTACCAATAATCCCAATACTCCCCTTAAAGCCGCTAGAAATGACAATACCGATAGACTCCCCAATAAAATAAAAGAATGAAGGTGTAAGAAAAAGGAAAGTAAATTAGATTTAGTATAGCGTAACGGCCGAGTTTATTACTTTGATTTCGACTAGAGTATTAAATTATAGTAAATTGTTTATTAATAAAGTAATAATTAAATTGAATTTCGTCGAATATTAGAAGGATTACGAAATAATACCCCTACCGTCGATAATTAGAGATTATTATCAACCCGTATTAAATACGTTTTACTAATTCCTAAATAATAACTTTTTAATAAAACTTTACAAATTTACCCGATTAATACTATAGTTAATATATATAATTTTATTCATTTAGAGGCATTGAATAACCCGGCTATATTTATTATAGTTTACAATAACCCCCTTAGCGCTAAAGACGTCAATTACGTTAATACGGGTAATTTGTATAATAAATTTACTTTGGTAATAGGTAGTAAAGTTATATTTATAAAAAATCTTTGGATTGAAGTTGGTTTAATTAATGGCCCGATTGGTACAATTATCGATATTATATAGGATGCCAACTAGTAGTAGTATAATATTCAATAAATTATCCTATCTTTATCTAATATTTTATATTAATATTATTGTAGTTTAGAAGCCGGAAATACTCCCTTTATTATATTCGTCAACTTTCTTATATACTATAGCCCTACTTATTTTAAAGACTTTGAGTTAGAATATACAGATATTTAAAATCGAGAGTACGTTATATTTGTATTCCAGTTTAAACGGGATTTTATAAAAGGGGTTCGCGATTATATAAGAATTTAATTCCCTTTAATAATTTTATATCCTATTACGGTATATAAAGTATAATGGTAGACGCTAGATTGGGTTATATGTGATATATAGAAAAAGGATTTTATAGTTAATTTATTTTATACAGTTATTTCCTACGCCTATATTCTATAGGGTATTATATTCGATTATCACGGGGCGAGGCACTGTTGGGGGTAGGATGAGATATGCGTTGTTGTGCGGAGGAGAGGAAAGGAAGGTGTGCGTGGAGGACTGGCTATATAGGCGAGAGCCCTGGCAGGCCAGTCCGTACACGCGCACACGTGCAACTGCACGTGACTGCTATGCATGTAGCCAGTACGTATAGAGCTCTGGGCTATAGCACCAGCTCTGGGCATAGTATATGAGGCAGTTAGTATAGTGTAAGAATATTATAAATTAACCCTATAATATTATCCCCCTTTAAAAGAAGCCCTAGTAGTTTCGAATTTATATATATACGTAATAATATTCCAAATCATTTATCTCAAACTCTTCTCGTAATCCTCCAACATCTTATCATAATCTATAAATTCCATCCTTAATACTCACCCAGACTAAATATCCATTAAACGTCTCGTAATCTTCGTAAATACTATTTCCAATCCCTATTCTTTATATACCGTAAACTTATTCTCTAGCCCTATTATAACTGTAACTGTATCGGGCAACGGCTATATAATATCGATAACGGCGGCGGCAATTTCGTATTAAACTATACGGGTAAACCGGCGTCTTAAGGGTTCCAGTAATTCTAAAGCGGCGGTAAATACTAGAACTCGTCCAACCAACATAACCTCGACGTCTAACAACATAGGTTTATCAGGGAATTCATAATAGAAACGCTAAAACATTTCCTCGCAATTAATAATATTATCCTTAAATTCCCAAGTCGGCTAATAATCGTCCTTCCATTCGACGTAATAGTACTAATAATAATTACCGCCCAATTAAACGCAATCGATAAACTTTTCGAAATCCTATTCTTCTTATTCCTTATAATTATCCGTCCTAATTATTATACACCCATTATTTACCTTTATATTGAATATTATATTTTAATTAAAAAGACCTCTACTAATTTATAATTATACTATAAAAACGTAGAATATTAACGAATATTTTATATTAATCGGAAATACGAAGTATACCGTATAACTCTTCGTTCGGGTAACGTAAAAAGGGCCCTCCTATTACAAATAGAACTTTAAATATAATTAACCGTTAACGAAATTTATCGTATTCAATAAAACTATATTACTAGAATAATACGTGGGAGAATCAATACGTTTTTTATTAGCGCTATCTTTATATCGCTCTTAGGCCCGACGGGTTTATTAAATAATAAAATCCCAAATTTATTAAAAACGGTCCGCTAATTCAAATACTTTGTAATACTTTTTAAACTAGGCCAACGATAAGTCCGGAAATAACAGAATACAAAACTCGATACCTATCCGTAAATAATAATTATAATTAGCGAAAAAAGGAAAAACGCTTATTAACGACGATATAGTATTATTTCTAATAAATTCCGCGATTAGCAACTATTTCGCCTAATCGGCTTATACCTAATTAATATAAACTTATAGAAATTATTGTATTTCTACGTTAATACGTTTTATTTAAGCGTTAATCTAAAAGTAAAAGGCTCAAATCAATTTGTAAATAATTAATAATCTTTTACAAAAAATAGCTTAAAAACATGATATAAATTAAGTACCACTATTGGATAGGATACTATTTAGTAAACTATAAGTCAAATAAATATAATCAATAAAATAATTTATAAATTGCTCCGCTTCTGAAATTACCGTAGGTATATAGTACTATATTTTAATTAGTCGATCGACAACAATAATAACATATTTAAAGGTTGAGCCGAAATATATACTTCCTAATAGCGGGGTAATAGAATTAATGAATATATCCTTCTATAGCGTTAAAAAAACGGCTATAAATGTAAAATATCCAGTTAAACCTCGCTTTAACAATTTTATCTTCGCATAAAGGAATTAACTTCTATAGAAAATCTTTACGTCGTTATATGTCCCCTCTTAATAGAATTCGCCTTATAAAAATTTATATATAATATTATAACCGGGGTAACCTACGCCCAGGGAATTATATTAGCAGCTAATTAACTAAAATTAGAATTCCTTATCGTAGTAGCGGGGTAATATAATCGATAAATACGTTCCTCTATAGCGTTAAAGAAATAGCTACAGGCTTAAAATATCCGGCTAAACCCCGCTTTAACGATTTTATCTTTACGGAAGGGAAGTAGTGTTAGTTATTATAGACTTAATATATATATAATAATAATAATAGACTTATAACGGATTTACGGGCTTATATAATAATATATAGGTATAAAAATAAAATTTGTATTTCTATATATAAATACTATTTTTATAACCGGAGAAAAATTCCGGTCCGGAGAAAACCTCCGGCCAACAATAGGGATCAACCCTGAATAGAATCCGGAAGAAAATTCCAGAGTCCGAACTTCGAAGCTGAATTCCGGCCTCAACGTCAGTCGAACGAAGTCATACGTAACTCCATTGGAAAGAACGGAACATGACGTTTCCGACCGTACAAACGGTTTCGTCATATGACGACCATATGGAGTAGAAGTGAAGAAAGAAGTCCGAAAAGACTTCTAAATTCGGATTCGAATTCCGGACTCTACGGCTGACGTATGAGAATAACCAGACGACCGTTGGAATGATCCGAAAATGACAATTCTAAAGGTACAAACGGTTTTGTCACTCGCTAACTCATTAATCCAAAAAGTCTATTCAAGGAAAGGGGAAAGAAATGTATTTTAGATACTTATCGATATCTCCACCAATCTACCACTCTTCCCCACATTCTACAAACCATTATGTTCGTCGTTGAACGCCCTACATTACCTTTTTGTATTTTATAATAATTAACTACTATTGGTCCTTTATAGTACGGTCGATTATACCGGCGTTTAGATTGATTTCGATTAAGTAGTTTTATAGGTTTTAAATAATAATCTATATTATTTTATATCGGTTGTATTATCGGCGCCGATTTTTAAAAACTTTATTTTTAGCGGTAAATTTAATAATTGGTAGGATTAAGTTACTACCCTATTTGGTTATTTTAATATTTGTATATAGTTTTCGTATTTGGAAAAAACCTTTGAACTTATCCTAACCGTTCCCGTCGCCTATAGTAACTTTATTTTTTATTGTAGTTAAATAGAAGAAATCTGCTACGTTTCGTATATAGTTTAATATTATATTTTTTTCTAATAATATTATTTTGAAACTTATTAACCTTATTGGCTACTTCATTATTTTTAACGGCTATAATTTTTCAAAGATTTAAGAATAATGTAAATTAGACTTCTTAGTTACTAAATGTTATCGTTATTTTACGCCCGATTCCTATAGTAGTTATCCTAACCGTCCTTTTTAATATATTTAATGCTAAAGCGATGTTTAAAAAGTCGTGTAAGATTACTTTACGTATTATTTAATTGTGTAGTAATATTAATATTTATAGTGAGGTTAGCAGTAAAGGTAAGTCCTACTTATCCTTCGAGAATGTAATTAATATATTTAATAAAGATTATTAGGATTTAAATATTAAGATTAATTACTACTTACGTACAAATATCGAGAAGGTTATTAAAATATATATAATAGATATCGATAATTATAGGAAGGAATTTACAAATATATATAATATTTTATAAAGTAAATTGGTATATAGTATTAAAAATATTCTCGATAGCGCTCTAAAGAAGCGTAGTAATAACGACCCCGCCTTTATTAATAAAATTCTATTAAAAGTTATTTTACTAGCTATTTAGTATTTTAATTATAGTACTAGTCTCCTCAAATAAA